TTGTTACCGTGCGATTTCCTACCACTCACACCGGAACTACCAGAAAAAACAATTCCAAAATCCGTTCAAAAGAAGGGTAAAGGCCCAATTGAAACTGCACGCGGAACAGCAGAACAGTGTGAAAGTGATAGTGATGACTCGGAGATTTTGATTCAAATATTACCTGAACAGAGAAATTTTGAAAATGATTCATTACAAGGAAACGAAGCGGTTGATCGAAGTGAACCTGATACGGCGGATCCAGCAGACGATATAGCGCAAAACGAAGCTACAGAGAACACTCAGGAGCCTAACCTGAACACGCAGCTGGAAGAGCAACAAAATGAAAAACCAATGCAACCTGCAACCGAATCCCCACCTGCCCCACCAACACGACGGAGTACGCGAGTAAGATATGCACCAAACCCTTTAAATTACAACCACCTTGGAAACCCAGAACACTTCGTGTCGTCAGTTAATGCAACACCAACCTTTTCCCCATTTACCTATCCACAGAGTTACCCACTGCCGCCACCGGCGCCGTTTATTCCACCACTATGGTTCCCTCCGTGGATCTTTCCATTTCCTCATCCCTTCTACCCTCCAGTAATCTACCAATGTCCGTGCTGGAACTCACATTATTTGATGCCCTTTAACATGGGTTACTAGACGTTTAAATTTATAACAATTATTAGTATTTGGTTTATGAACTTTACGATAATAAGTAGGTGTAAACTACTTTAAAACCTGTTACAATGCAGAAGTATTGAAGAGTTGTTAGTTATTACGTGAAAAGGAATCGACAAAGTTAAGATATCAGACGAAGATGTTGTTTGCCTGGCCAGTAAGCAGCGAATTCTTAATAATTTAGACTTGAAGAACATGAAGGACTCGAACAATAGTGCTTATTATAGAACTAAATCCACTCGGATTTGTTAACATTCAAATCGTAATGTTAGAGAACACTCTTTTTAGGAGGGGAGTGTGTGACGTGACCAATTTAGATCACTCTGTCTTGGGTACGCTGTAGAAAGACAGTCACGTGACGAAGCAGCATGCTTGAATTTTGTACTTTTTACTAGCTTTATAAAAACAATATTTAAACCGACAAAATGTAGTTTTCGCGTAATAGTTGAACGGGTAACAATGGCAACGCATTAAAGTGGGAACATTTTGTAACAAAAAAGAATGACCAGCAGTTCTTTTTTAACACTGAATACCTGCATAAATATAATGCTGGAAAATCAGAAAAGAAGAAAGTTCAAGTCCCTGGGCACCACTACTTCAAAAAAATCGATAGCATTATTGCAACATGCATGAGTTCTGGAGAAATGTTTCATGAGTACTGTGTAGACCAGGCAGTGCCTCCAACTCCTCGTCCAGTTCCAGGCATCACCAAGTTCCCAAAGTTCCACTACTTACCTCTCGAAGATACACCAATAAGAAAGGAAAATGGTAATAGAAGGGAGGTAGATGATTTCCACCCTAGAGCATGCTTGAGAGCACTTCATAAAGAGAAAGCAATCAATGTAGAGGATGCTTTAAGTGTTAAAGCCTTCTGTAACAAATACATTGTCGAGGAGAACCTTGTAAAATCATACCTAGAGCATCTAAACCATCTAGAAATGATGAATGACAAGAGGAAAACTGAAACGAGAGACAAAAACTTACAAGAAAACAACATGTCTTGTGAAGATTTTGACTGGCAGAAAATGTTCAACGAGGGGACCTTGGCAAAACAGCGTGTTTGCATACTTGACAAGTACATTGAAAAGTATAATCTATCTGCAGTGAGAAACAAGAAAAAAACAGAGAAAGTCAGTGCTATCGTCCATCATTTACAATATGCTGTTTCTGCAAGTGAAAGTGGTGAAGACCTGGTTTTAGCAGAAATAGGAGAGTCAAGTGATCAGCAGTCAGGATCAGATACAATTTGAACACAGAGGGCTTATTTTGGTTTCCAGTCGTAGAAACTATTATCATCCCTTTGAGTCAAAACCTTTCTTTGTCCTGTTTCTCCAACACGGAAATCACTTGCATGTTCTGAACATCACTTGCGTGATGACATCACAGGTTGTAATTCAAGTTTGCTTCTATTATTGATAAAATTATATTACAAGTACTGAAACATTTTTCTTCTACCACTGTATCACATACTTGGAGGTAATATTTATCCAGGGCAGGGTCATAGAATTTTAGGACGAGTTCAAGGGGAGGGTCAAGACATTTCAAGCCCTTACCGGGGGAGGGTCATTGTATTTTTATCGCTCGACTGAAAATCTCCACCCACCCCCCTCCTCCCCTGCTAATTTCTGACAAGTCCCTAATTAGGATGAACAATTATATAATGCCACATGGGTTTTATCAGATATAAAGTCACTCCACGTGATATATTGTGGCTGACATGATTTGCCACAAGGTTTATGAATTATTAATGAGTATTAATGAGTGGGAAAACTCGAAATTGTATGAAAACACTCCGCCCTTCGGGCGTGTTTCCATACAATTTCTCGTTTTCCCAATTCCACTCGTGTTGATATAACTGTATATCAACACGGAAAGTGTTTTATATTTGTTAAATATAATGTAGTATATCCTTAAGAAGTACGTAGGATCTCCCAGTAGGGGTAGTGTGATTCGCTGGAAACCTGAGAAATTTCTCGGTGCTCATGTATATAAGGATCGAATTGGTCATGAATAAGGAGCGGTTGCAAACTGACGACCAGTAGCGTTGCCAGCCCGACAATTTAGTCCCGCTATGCAAATATTTTTCTGTTCATTGACTGTAGAAACAATCAATTTCTAAAGAAATGAATAATGATAATAATTTTTAATTTGCATAGCGGGACTAACTTGTCGGGCTGGCTACGCCACTGCTGATGATTAAGTAGAACCTTGAAGTGTTATTTTACCGCTTACTATTAGTAAAATTAAAGGCATGCACAATGACAGTTAAATTCCTTTCGTTAGGCACTATATTTTTTGGTGTACTTGGTTTTTGGGAAGCGCCATATATGGCATATTGATATTGTTTAAGGTGGTCTTCCACCCAAATTTTCCAATATTCGTTATTTTTTAGAAAAACGTAAAAATGTAGTCTTTATAGCGTTCTTTATAAAATCCGTGTAATTTTAAGAACGAAAATGTACCGTAAACAAGAGAAATCCAGCAAATTCTACACACCCGCTATGCAAATATTTTTCTGTTCATTGACTGTAGAAACAATCAATTTCTAAAGAAATGAATAATGATAATAATTTTTAATTTGCATAGCGGGACTAACTTGTCGGGCTGGCTACGCCACTGCTGATGATTAAGTAGAACCTTGAAGTGTTATTTTACCGCTTACTATTAGTAAAATTAAAGGCATGCACAATGACAGTTAAATTCCTTTCGTTAGGCACTATATTTTTTGGTGTACTTGGTTTTTGGGAAGCGCCATATATGGCATATTGATATTGTTTAAGGTGGTCTTCCACCCAAATTTTCCAATATTCGTTATTTTTTAGAAAAACGTAAAAATGTAGTCTTTATAGCGTTCTTTATAAAATCCGTGTAATTTTAAGAACGAAAATGTACCGTAAACAAGAGAAATCCAGCAAATTCTACACCTTCGTAGGGTAAAACCACGATTTTACCCGGAGCGATAAAGATATGCGATTGGTTTAGTCTATTGTTCCATTTTCAATCATATTGTTCTATCTAAGTTATTCTAATATATGTAAAAACTTTAAAATCGCTTTTCTCACATGAGCATTTTGCGACATACTAAAAACTCTCCTACTATTCATACTGAATCAATTCGTTCGAAATTTTCAGAGTTTATTTGCTTGTTACATAGCCATGTCATGGACCTAAAAAACTTCATATATCAGCAATATACATTGCAAGAGTAGCCTTATAAGAGCTCCTTTCTTCATATAATTTTAAAAAAGTAAAATATGAAGGCCTTATTATATTACTTGTATATTATTTTAGGTTCATGACATAGATCGATGTATTAAGTGTCCATTAGAGCTGTTCCTAAAATCCTCGGTAAATTAGTTTGGCTCACATCATTTTTGGAGCAAACCCTATATTTTACAACGACGAATGTAAAAGTTACTGATCCTGCGTCAGCTGAGGATATTCCATCATATTTGACTCAAATATGATGATAAAACCTTTAAATTGAAAAAAATGTTTTTAGGGTGGAAGACCCCCTTAATTAACATCAGCAATTATATATTGACATTATCATAAACATCGGAACTTCCGGTTTCGCTAGCCGCTCACGTGACTGCTTGCACTGCGATAATACGAATTGCCCTGTAAAAACATACTGTTTTATCGTTCGTTATTTATGAGTCTTTCTTCTTTACTCGCGTGGTGGCAGCGATTTATTTCCTTATCCTTCGATCTCTAACACAGCAGAGATCATAATACAGCTCAGAAGAAAGTTTCTCGGACCAAAACAACTGGTAAAAGCGAAGCAGTTTTTAGCTGTTCTACGAATCAGAGCTCGTAGTATAGTTGTCTTTCTCGTTAGTATCGCGAGCAACCGTGCCCCAAAACAGTGGTCTCTCACAAAACAAGAAACAATAACATCGTTTGAAGCATGGCGTCAAAATTTACAATATACATTATCGTTAGACCCAAACTTCGCCCCATTTTTGATCGATGGGGTAACTTGCCTAAAAAAGACCACCGCCGCCCCACTTTGCGGTTTCGAAAATTATGCCGATACTGTACCCGTAACACGCCGTTGTACTGCAGACCAAAAAGCAGCCCAACTGGATGGAGCTTATATTGGGCCAAATAGCCAATTATTGCCCTGTAATTTCCCGAAATACTATTGTCAAAAACTCGACATCTTTGAGCATTATTTGGCAAGCGATTCGGGCTCACTTTGGGTTTCAGTCCACAGGTGGTCATTTCTTAGACTTTAATAACATTCACTTAGAAACTGACGAGCGTCCGGAAGACCTTTACCAAAGGCTTGTTAGCTTCATTGATGACAATTTGCTCAAAGCTAGTGGTGGTATTCGACACCATGGTCAAAACGTTACAGCTGATGAAGACATCTCCCCAACAATGGAGAACATAATTGTGTTGACATGGCTACGCCTTATCCATCCTTCTTTACCAGCCCTAGTCAAACAACCCTACGGTGCTGAACTTCGATCACAAACTGTCGCGTCCCTCAAACCTGAAATTTCCCAAGCACTAGACTCCCCCCTTGACGAAATTAAACTCTGCCAACGATGCAAAAGTCCTCCGTACTGCTTTCCAACAATCCCTCAACCACCCTCAATCCAGTTGTCGCCGTCAATCCTGTTGTCGCCGACAGCCCTACCACGGATATCTAAAACCTCAACACAAAGTTGCCCTTTTTGCAGACAAGCAGGTCGACAACACCAACACTACCTGAGTAGGTGCCCCTACCTCCCAGTCGAAGACAAGCAATACCTATCCCGCTCAAGACAGGTAGTCGGCACAGAACCGGGGGACCCGCTATCTGACTGCGAAGTAGAAGACTCACAAGATTCCCACAACTACCGAATCAAGACTACCACCAACCGAGTTAATGTTAAGCAGTCACCTCATCTCCAGGCCTTCTATGCCCATCACCCACTACTCTTGACAATAGACACAGGAGCAGAAACAAGTATGATAAAGACCAGCATTGCCAATGAAATTGGAGCTACTATACAGAAGACTACTCAGAAAGCCCTCCAAGCAGATGGTATAATCCAGCTAGTCGTCGTCGGAGAAGTCCATTTGACTTTGTCTCGTAACCACCTTAATTAGCAGTTGGATGCACTTTGTCATTGATATTTGGACGTCGATATACTAGCCGGGACTCCTTTCATGATCACCAATGGCATCTCCCTCCGGCCATCCAAGCAAGAAGTCACCATTCAAGGATGCGAGAACGTGTATTATGGCTCCAGACAAGCAGGTGGGACCATAGGCTCGGTCCGACGAACACAAACTACAGTCCTTCGTGCCCCATCATACTCCACCGTAATTTGGCCAGGCCAGTACCTTGAATTAGACCTTCCCGATCACGTAGACCCAAATTCTATCCTTGCCCTAGTACCTCGTAAGGATTGTTCCAGATCAGACTGTGAGTGGCCAAGCCCCCATATTGTACAGGCAGTCGCAAGAAAGATCCGTATACCCAATCAGACCCGGCGTAAACGTATCCCTCGTCATGACCATCTGTTTCAGGTTTTTAAAACAGGAATTCGATTCCTTTCTGTTGTCGTTAATTGCCAGGAAAAAAGACACTCTTTGACGCTCTCCCATTTGATGTATGTCGTTTCTTGGTATATAAAGATTCTGGTGGCAATACCCTGCAACCCCACAAATATGGTTGTCAATACCTGGGTAAACGGGGTCTCCAATCATGTGGTTGTCTGCGTCGTCTCACATACAGTACGGCAGATTCGCGGTACATCGGAGAACTACGTTCCATCTTTTCGGAAGTCGGACGCCAAGGAGAATGGAACAGGTGGCTGTTACTAGCAAATCCTGCCACAGACGATATGGTCAAATCGTATTTAAAGCAAGTAACTGCGGAACAACTTCAAACATGTGTTACTCCGAAGCAAGCAGCTCCACTTTTTCAAGACAAGTTATTGCCATTATCCCGATATTTAGACCGACAGCTTGTTCTCCCGCATCTTTCCTCAACAGCAATATTTCTCATCGCGCGTGATCAAATGCAAGCTTTTTTTAATTAGTGCCTTTTTTATGCTGGAGACAGAGCGGGAGATTTGAGTCAAGTGAAGACAGCTGAAATTGCTCGATTTTCTGATGGTAACGGGATTTTGTTTAATCATACATGGGGTAAAACTCTTCGCGATGGAGCTACCAATTTGTTTGGAATGCGCCGGCATCCTAATCCGAGCTTTTGTCCTGTCACCACAATTCAGACTTATATGACGTGGGGTTATCGATTTGTTTCGTCCCGCCACTCTACGGGGTGAGGTAACAGATCAGCCGATTATAAGTTCCGCTGCAGAATCTGGGCTTAAAATATTTCTCCGTGAAGCCAAACTTAACGCAGGCAGAAACTCTTCACAGCTTTCGGACTGGTTGCGCACTTATCTTGACATTGTCGAATTTGTCGGGTTCGCCCTCTTGCTGACGTGATGATTCATATTGAATGGTCTGCACCGTCTACTGCTCAGTATTATCTAAAATTGGCCAATTAATATTATCCGAGCTGGTGCTGCACCTGATCTTTTCCCGCAGGAATTATCACGAAGTTCGTTATCTTCTGAATAGTATATGGTTTTAACCATTTACGAAACTTGCTTTTCCTGCTGCCTCTACCATCCCTACTCATTAATTTACATTAACATACTTATATTTCAATAAATTACATTTTGTATCTTTGTATGTGTGTGGCTTTGAGGTTTGTGTAGTTTTTGATGTTTGAATAGTTCAAGGTTTGGAATCTGGTTACCTGTTCGGGTTTGGTTTAATGTCATAGGTAGGGAACCGTACTGAGTGTACGTGGCCGCCATACATTCCATACCTTAAAGGAAATGCAGGTGAGACTGGTGTATAAATAGGAATAGGATACTATTTACAGGGACCCCTGTTGGGATGTGCATGCATAACTCCCAATATGAAAATGGCGGACATTTCATTCCTTTCGGTCAAAATATTTATAGAAATATTTGTAAAAAACGGTAAACGAATATCATATATAGTCTTAAAAGTTCTTTCAAACGAGAAAATAAAAATATATTGCCATTTCCCTTTAAGAAGTATCCTTTAAATGAGTGCTCTGCAACGAGCATGCGCAGTAGATTGTATGTATTAGCTGTTGAGATTAATCCCACATGCATACGATGGTCTTTGTTGAATCTATATAAATACGAATGTGTTTCCTTAACATTACGAGGTCCGCTCTGAGAGGGTTATCGACTAAAATTAATTGATTACTCCCCCCTCTCATAATTCGACCTCTTTATTTCTGACCAGATATATCCGTAATATTCCTCGGTTTATCAGAAACAATGCCAACGGCGGCAGGTTATAAAATAGCTCCTGTCTTATTTCTTATTTTCTTGCTTGTCGGAGGAGTGCTGCTACTCAATTTTAGACAAGCTGCTGCGGTTAGTGATTTTGCAGGAATACAATACTCAATAGTCTTAGAATACTGAATAGAGGAGTAATTATATAAAACAGCTCGACCTCACGACCGGCTGCACCCTGGTATTCTGAAGAAATCTCCATAGAAAAATGCAAGCGCCGTCAGCTTGAAAGACGTTGGCGTAAATCTGATTTGGAAGTTGATAAACAACAGCACGCGGATCAATGCAGACGGATTAGGGAATTTATCAAATCATCAATGTTGCATTACTATTTTGCCAATTTGTTGAAAACAAATCAAATCATAACTCATAAGATCTTATTTAGTACAATAGACCGCATGTTACACCATACACCTGAGAAACATTACCCCACATGTGGTTCTACTGCTGAACTGTGCAACAAATTAGCGGATTTTTTTACACAGAAAATAGTGACCATATAGACACAATGACGATAACTGATACCACGAAATGTTATCAATTTGGACATTGTATTAGTAATTTACTGCCTATCATTCGAATTGTAGTGAACATGTTATTTGAGTCAACTGTATATAGTACCTAGCTCCGCGAAGAAGGCGGTGTTGTGTCCCTCTCTGAAGAAAGTGTCTCTGTAGTTTGAAATTTTTGCTAACTTTAGGCTTGTTTCAAACTTGAAATTTTTGTCTAAGGTTATGGAGAAGGTTGCAGCAGCATGTCGACCACGAAACCTTGTTGCACAAGATATTACAATACTCCAGTCTCCAACGTTTAATAATAATCCACTATAAATTTGGCATAAAAGGTAAAGCATTATGAATGGTTTCGCTCATATCTCACAGGTCGTACTCAGTCGGTTCGGATTGATGGAACTGATTCGTTAGTCTGTCTCCTTACTCGTGGAGTACCGCAGGGGTAAGTTCTGGGACCTTTGTTTATTTTATTATATACTTCGCCAATAGGAGATTTAATCCGAAAGCATGATATGTCGTTTCACTTATATGTGAATGATGACCAACTCCACACTACGTTTGCGTGCAATGATGATGTGGAACTTTATTCTGCGTATAAATACGATCATATTACTCAGGGTGCTTCAGGCTGGTTGGTAGTACAGCAAAGAATCATTTAAATTGATCAATTTGACGTGCTTTAAAATATTGAACAACATGGCTCTGATATATATTTGCAAGAACTTTTATGTCACCATCAGCCAGACCAATGGCGTTTTGCAGAACAACATTATAATTTAAAGACATATTGATACAGGGCCTTCTAAGTTGCGGCACCGTGAATTTGGAACATGCTCCTAATACCATTAGATCGATTAGTAACATCAACATTTTTAAATCTGAATTGAAAACACACTCTTTTTAATTAAACAAACTAACGATTTGTAATTACTTTTAGGTTTCAATTATCATTCTTAGTAATTCATTAGTTGTTTTTTAACATTAATAATATAACAAAAATTTACTGTAAATATAGATAATAATTTTGTAAATGTAATATGGCATTGTAAAGCGCTAATTAGGACAGCAATGTATGGGCGCTATATAAGTACCATCATTATTATTATTATTATTACAGTACTCAAACCGGATGTACATGTTCTCTTGCGAGCAACATTGCGATATTGTCCAACAATATTGCAATTTTAATAGGCAGATTACTCTGAGCAATTTTCAGCCGACGCGAACAAATTGCAAGTTGAAATTCACAAAAGATTTACAAAGCCTCTGATTGGACTATAAGAAAGAGGGAAGCACTAATCCAGTTGCTCAGATTATTTGATTGGCTTCTCTCTTTCTTATAGTCCAATCAGAGACTTTGTTTACAAATCTTTTGTGAATCTCAACTTGCAATTTGTTTGCGTCGGTTGCAAAATGCTCTGAGCAATCTGCTTATCAAAATTGCAATATTGTGGAACAATATTGCAATGTTCCTCGCAAGAGAACATCCGGTTTGACTGTAATTGTTTTTGTCATATCATTAACTGTGTTTTAGCATAATGTCTAGTGATAAATTGAGATTTACTGTCTATTCGTAGGCTTGCCACAATCGACTCGTATTGTTTAACTGCGCGTTTGAGTTCAATTGACAATTGTTCAAATTTCAAATCATTTTATGGTACCAGGGTTTATTTTAACGTGCAGTTCTACCAAAATGTGCAGTTCTAAACCCATTTGTGCAGCTCTTAAAACACAAATGTGCAGTCACCAAACTAACAAAATATCCATAAAACAGCCTTCTCATTTACTCGTTACCCTTCTGGATGCTCCAGAAAATGCCAGAAATGCTGTCATTGAGCATCAAAAATATAAACGTTTTCTGGGAGAGGATCCCAGGCCCTTTTATTTTCCTCACAAATCACTTACGTGTTGGGGTAATGGAAAAGAAGGTAAAATTGGGGAAATGAAGCTCCCCAAAAGAGATCAGAGTGGGAGAACCTAATATTCTTTGCCGCCTGAAATGCAAATTTAAGGTTGTTATATATTGAATATCCATGATTCCCAGTTACATGTTTTGAAACTGCTTTTGTGAGTGGTTGGGTAAAACAAATCTTTGCCCGAACTTAAGAGCCTCTAGATTCAAATTGTTTTGGGGAACATCTGCTCCCCCCCCCCCTAGCTCCCTCGCCCAAATTCTTCCACCCAACCACAGCATTATTCTGTCACTTATATGCAGGTAAAAAGTCATTTCACCCCCCAGTCAAGCACCTGTTGCTTTCGTAACATCCATATATGTGCAGTTCTAAATTTTTCTTAAAATAAACCCTGTTAATTTATACCATACGTTTTGTTCGCTTATTCCAGTCTCCAACGTTTAATAATAATCCTCGTCCCCGAGCCGGCGGCGCGAAGCGCCGTGCGAGGGTACTAATTCCCCCCGGCTATTTACATCCGGGGAAACGAAAGCATTAGGGAAGTCTAAAGTTCGTCAAATATCGCGGGCGTGGGTCTCTGTGCGTGGGTGGTCATCCTCACAGATCTCAAAAATATGGCGGACTGTCATGAATAGCGAACACCGATTGGTCAAATTTAAAATTTGTTGTTGTATGACGAATGACGACTTTAACTGATAGGCCATCAGCCACTCACCAGATTTTGACTTTTCGTTTCCCCTACGCAGAGACAACAATTTAACGATTGTAAGTTTTGCCTAAAAGCTTATAAGGTCGAACAACAAAATGTTGTAATCGATAACACCGGCAGTTTTGCCAAAAATTGGCTTTCAAATTTTGTAATTTTTACATTATATCGTCGCCATTTTTTCACGCATTTCGGAGCTGCGTGTGCTCCTCGCGCGTACCACGAAACAGTGCTTCCATTTGCAAGGAAATTTGCAGGGAAATAAAATGCAAGGAAATAAAATTTACAAGGAAATGGCAATGAATTTTGTTGTCAGGAAGGGAATCAGAGGGATACTACGTTATTTCTAATAAATCCTAAGATTACAGCAATTTCCAACCAAATTCGCTTCAGAAAATGTCCTGTCAGAATCCTATTCTGTGGAATGGAAAATCTGAAAAAAATTGACAATCCCCCCCAGGGCCACCGAGAGGGGGTGCGGGGGCAGGGGGAAAATTGCCCCGGGACCCGAGGTGCTGGGGTCCCGGATATTTTTTTGGGGGCCCCAGTCATTTTTGCCGCAAAAAGGGCAAGATATTTGTTTTTTTGGGCTATGTATCGAAATTTGGTATGAAAAATTGAGATAAAGTCCCTGGAAAGCAATTGCAACGTACTCGTCCGGAAAAAGTTTTTCCCCTAAAAAGATGTCGACGGGGGGGGGGGTGGAAAGTTGTTTTCCGGAAAAGAATTTGAAATAGGGGCCCCTAAAAAAATTTGCCCCGGGCCCCCGCCAAACTCTCGGCGGCGCTAGCGCTGATTCCTCCCCTGCAACGTCCATGATCCTTCTGGCACTAGAAAGATACCTTATTCAGGATAAACTAATTTAAACTAATTCATCAACTTTAGTGCAAGGAAATTTTGACAAAAATAATGACATTTTGAGCAGTTGGCACTTGGGAAGGAAATTATTTTTTCTAGAGTGGAAACACTGCTACAAAGTTCTATATGTTTTTCTATTGGTCAATAAAACACGTTATAAAAACAACGTGAACGTCACGAAATACTCAAATTACAATGTCTGAAAGCAAATGTTTTATTCATTTTTCTACGGTTTCTGAAATCGATGAAATATTAATTGCGGCAAAAGCATCATTGTGTAAAATTATAGAATGTAGAAAACGTTGGTCAGTTTTACATAGCGAGGCGAGAAGTATAAGCGAGCAAAGTTTCGCCTTTAATTTTGAGTGGTGACGATGAGCAGATTATGGAAGGTAGCGTCGAAACACTGCCAACAAGCCGGTTTACCATCGTAAATGCTATCAGAGTTTTACGAATAAGCGACTAATATTAATAAGTAATAAAACAAGCTGAAAAACGCTTTGCGAAGAAAAATCTAAATGAACCAAGTCAAAGAGAAATTGAAAATGCAGCCGCGACGGTTGAACCACCACGAAAGTCAAAGCGTCGAGAAGAAAGCGCTGATTCTTCATCTAGAGGTAGAACTGCTGGAATTTTGCCCAAACTATGCATCATATGCAAAAAGAAAGAACTTTTCTATAACGACAAAGTAAGCAGCTAAACGCAGAAATTTTAATTATATTATATTTTGACATTTTGGGGGTTTTTCTCGCTTTAATACAAATTCTTTTTCTTATTTTTTCTTAAAAATTAATATGTTTTCGTAGAATTCTAATCAAAGTTTTTAAAAAATTGCCTGGTTAGGAATAGGTTTAGGGTGTAGGGACTGGACTGCCAGTCTTTAGCACTTTCTGAAACCTGACGGGCTGCCAGTCAATATTCACGGGGTTCTTTCTTGCAGAAATCGAGAAAGCGTATACTTAATTGCGGGAAGCAGCAGAGATGAAAAACGATGAGAATATTCTAATTCATATCAAATAAAAGGACTGTGTTGCGATTGAAGTGTGCTATCATAAGACGTGCTACAAGAACTATACTCGTTTTCTTTCTAAGCCAGACGTTGATCAAGCAATGGATTCCGTCTTTAACACGGCCTACAAATATTCTGCAAGGAAATCATTGATGACCGAATATGCAAAAATCGTGAGATTTTCTTTCTGACGAAGTTGGTTAATATTTTTCGGAGCTATATCGATAAGTGTAGAGATCGAGAGGGTGAAGAAGGTTCGAGGTACAAGGCCGGTAACCTAAAGAATCGTCTTCAGAAGAGCCATCCACAACTTGTTTTCCATGCTCCTGGGAGAAGAAACAGAAGTACGCTAGTTTTTGCTGAGGGGGTCTCAGATTTGTGTGGTCTCAGATTTGATCTCAGATGTGGTCTCAGATTTGTCAAGTGCTTTTGACAAAGGAAATGAAGCATTTACGCAGTTGGTTTCGAATAAATTGCTGGTCGAAGAACCTGATATATTTTCAACGATTCCAAAAATGAAACTAAAAACATTTGATGCATTGAACAAGCCTGTATCACGAATGACTTGGAAAGGTCAAGTTGTTTCTTTGAGGACTGACAGAAATACCTTAGCCAGGCTATTCGTGATTGGCCAGAAAAGATCAATCGATGTGCAACAAATGCTGTCCTTTTGCCTTGGCTCTTGCCCTCTATCATTAGCAACCGTTACTGGAGGTATTTGCAAAACGACTAAAGCAAAGTTACTTCAATCATTCCAATCTGAATTCCTTGATTGCATTGTTGATAATTTTCATGATGCCTGTTGCGTTCTTATTGATGCAATGGCGGTTCTTCAATCCACAGTCCTCGTGCCCGAAACCTACGGAGAACTTGCTGACGATATTCTTGTTAGAGTACTAGCTGTAGCTCGCAAATTCAAGGCGTCCCGTGTGGAATTCGTGAGTGATCGTTATCCAGCGCAAAGCATAAAAAATGCACAGAGAGAGAAGAGAGTGACTCAGGGCGAATGCAGCGTTCGTATTTATGCAAAAGATCAGAAAGTTTTCAAACTCTGGAAGAAATTCCTGTCAAACGGCAAGAATAAAGAAAATCTGGTTTCCTTTTTGCTGGACACATGGTCGAACATGGAGGGGCGCCATTTGGGTGAACATGAACTATTCGTCACATCTGGATCCAACTGCACAAAGTTGTCGAGCACAGCTGAAATTCTACACCATGATATGGTCATCGAATTATCAGACTGTGATTATGAAGAAGCTGACACGAGGCTGATGCTCCATGCGGCACATGCAGCAAAATGCGGTCACCAAACCATTGTTATCAAGTCGCCAGATACGGATGTGTGTATTTTAGGACTGTACTCAAAGATTTCTCTTCCAGAAACGTCATTGTTTCTTTACACTGGCTCTGGTGAACACAGTAGAATATTATCGCTTGATGTAATTTCATCTTCAATACCGCCCGAGCTTAGTTCTGCTTTACCTGGACTCCATGCATTCACTGGTAGGTATATTCATTGCAATTTTACTCAACCCTTTCGTCGTCATCAATATTTTACACTGTACAATAATACATTACTTCATTTAGGTTGTGACTATACCAGCTCGTTTTTTGGGAAGGGGAAAGCGAAGGCCCTTAAACTAGCTCGATCAAATGAACATTTTCTGCAGGCGTTTTCAGAGTTTGGATCCACGGAAGAGGCTGATCATAAAGCTGTCACCACACTTGACAAGTTTACGTGTTCTCTCTTTGGTGATTCGAAAGCTCAGACCGTGAACGACGCGCGTTATAACCTATTCACACAGGGAAAATTTGGTGAAGATTGTTTGCCTCCCAATAAAGATGCCCTTGCTTTGCATATCGACCGCTGTAACTATACGTCTCATTCATATGGCGCCGTTGTCTGAATCAAGAGATCGGAGCTCCTCATTTTAGGAATCATGGTTGGGAAGTGGACGAAAGTGGCAAAGTTAGCGTGAAATGGTTATCTGGTCTACCCGCGATGGACAACATTCTGGAATCCTCCAGCTGCAAGTGCAAAACCGGTTGTAAGACTAAACGATGTGGTTGCAAGAAAGAAGACTTGGAATGCACAGAGCTGTGCTTCTGCTGTGATTGCCAAAATCAGAAATATTCCAATGCCGATGAAGATGACGATGATTTTTACCAGGAGGATTTTGAAATGGACGATATTGACATCGAATGATTGACATAAGACATAATCAAATCATAAGACATAAATCATAATTAAGTCAATAAACATAATCAAATCGTTTGTATGGATAAGAAATAATTTTTTAAATTATTGTGTTTCAATCTTTCATACAAATGATGTACATAATTTTATCTTTCTTTAATACATACGTGTTGGGCTAATATTGCGTGTAATTTAGCATTGTATCTGAATTGAAATCTTTGTGCATGAAGAAATTACATAGATTTCTTTCAGAATGGTATCAGCAAACTGCGAGTATAGTAAGATTAAAAAATTTTCGAAACACTAAAAAAACTAGTAAGAAGATAAAAACCTTACTAGTTTGATCTTTATTTTGAACAAACTTTTGATTGATGTTAATTAACATGTTTATGAAAACAAACGCTTGACGTCCACACTGCGCTTAATTCCGTTGAGGGATAAATATGCCTTCCTTTGATACGCACACTGGAACGCCTAATTCAAGGTACTATTACGACGGAAACATTTTACGCCTTTCCCCAGGAGACAATCTCTCTACACGAGATTTACTGTCCGAAAAATAAAGTTGCTACAGTTAACTATTTGCAGATCAAACATTGACTAAAAATGGTTACTCAGCATTTTTCCAAAACTTTGGTCAGCAATAATTCAGCAACCGTTGACCGTACGTGATTATCGTAATATAGTTTTTTTGTACACATGTGATGCTCTATCTGGCAGTATTGTCAAATTTTTGAATTTTCAAAATTTTTAGTTTTCTCATCTATGGATGACGTCATACATAGATAAAGCAATTTTGTCGAGACTTGCATGTTTGCCGAAGTACAACATTGGTGTTTTACCATGGAAATGGATCCACTCAACATATAATGAAATCAAAATATGGTCTCCGTGGGGGGAAACGAAACTTGCTTTCCAGCTTCATTCTCGTGGGTGGCTGATGGCCTATGACAGATACTTCATGAAAATATTTTGCTTTTTGCGCTACAGTTTTTTGTACATCTGCAAAAACATTTGGCAACTTTAAAAGCAATTAATAGCTTTATTAAAACTTTTATCAAATAATTACGGTATCAAATACCAATTGAAAAGATATGGAGCCAAATGAAGAGCGGCAAGGAAACGACAAGAAAGCCGAGCGTCTAGCGAAAAGAAGGGAGCGAAGACGACAACGTTTGCTCGAGGAGACTGCTGACGAAAGAGAAGCTCGCCTGGGAAAGCGTAGAGAAGCATGGAAAAGACTGCTGAAGCGAAAGGTAAGCAAAGGCTTGTCTTCACAACGCTATGTACCAATGATACTGTAGCTATACAAGTTGAAGTATGATATTCGACCCTCTATATTCGACTATTTCTTCACAATTTTCCAATAAAGAGTTTGTCATGACACGCTCAAGTCAGTATAAACCAGACTGTATTTTATTTATATCAGTTATCACAGCCACAGGCAATTTTATGCTGTCAAATACCGTCGGTTGCAACTATAAAGGGTGAACAGTTGCAAATAAAACATTCTCTATACTCATTAAAAAGCCTGTAAAGGTTTCCAGTAGGTCTCTAGCCCAACACGTTCAGACCACACAAAGTTTAGTTACTTATTATTGTACACATGGGAAACAACAATTAAGTGTTGTTGTTCTTGACAAACATTGAAGATTCTAATCACGCGAATGTTTTTATGAGCGACTGTTCATCGTTAGTTGCAAGCGACGGTACAACATACTATGAACATTTTTCCGACTGTGACCGAATGTGCAACGATATATTTTTCAAAGTTGTTATCAATTCCTAAAATTTGTTTATAGTAAAACGGCCTGCTCAGCACTCACTACTCACGATGATTTCATTTAGAAATGCAGTTACCAGGAAAAGAACTGATTCTAAAATATGTAAATTTAAAAGCATTAATTGCCTAACAGAATAAAACGATGTGAAGACAAGGTATAAACTTATATAGTTGCTATTTGTTATAAAATCCTATAAATAAACCGCTTCAACAATAATTTTGCCTTGAATTTGCATATTCTATGCTGCATGTTTATATTTTATTTTTATAATATAAAAATAAAATTGTAATAGTATGAAATATAATACATTTCTGTTTTTTGACCAGTACTTATTTAATGTCTTCTTCATCCAGTGGTTAGAGTAAATTTCTAGTTCTTGCAAGTAAATATTTGACAAGCAGTCTGGAATAAGCACAGGAATAAGCACAATAAGCCATTTTATAGTAGCAATATGAAAAGTTTTTTCTTTTTCCATGACTTTTAATGCATCAGCCAAATCCAAGTGTGCCCATCCCCCTCGCCCAGCCATTTTCCTGTAAAGCACATCCCGGGGGTTGGGCATTCCCACTCGAACCTTATGCACTTATCATCGGCTTCCCCGGGGGTCGACCCCTGGGACACCCCAGGGGGAACCCCCGGGAACAGGAGGGCATTCGTTGTCTTTTGTAAAAAATAGTGTCCCTCGGGGAAGGGGAATTGTTTGGGTTTGGTAACAGGCACTGTTAACCCCCAGGATAAACCCGCGGGATTTTGTTTCACATATGGTCAGCGGTATCTAACATATATGTCCAATATAGATATAACCGTCGGTTGTCAGGTGGTGAAGTATATTCATATTATATTTTTATTTATTACCTCGAACATGTCTGTCAAATGCATTTAAATATATTTAGCCAAATACTTTGAATTACGTTTCCCACATGAGAACCGTAATGTGAGATATAATATATTCATATTATATTGTTATTTATTACCTCGAACATGTCTGTTAAATGTGTTTAAATATATTCTGTCAAATACTTTGAATTACGTATCCCACATGAGAACCGTAATGTGAGATATAATATTATATTTTTATATACATAGTTGGCCACAATATATGTAAGTAATAATAAAATATAGCAACGTAGTGTAAGCATCCTACACCGAATGACACCCTTCGATCATCACACACCATCTGACAACTATCTGACAACCATCTGACACATTTTGACCATCATACACCATCTGACAACCCTTCCCTGTACAACCACCTTACACCATCATACACCATCTGACAACCATCTGACACACTTCGACCATCATACACCATCTTCTCCATCAGACATCAGATATCGATGCCTGTATTGGACATTACTCGTATCTAAGAATCATTGAGTTCGAATAGTATAAACTTCATCTTACCCTAATTATTTATAATTCAGCGCATGCGCAAATAAATTCTTTCAAGCGTGCATGCTTTACATGCTTGAACCTGACATTATTGGACGGTTATTTTAAAATTGTTTACTTTTCTGCTGTATTTTGTATCCAGTTCACCAGTTATATAATATTTTGTATTTGTTAGGGATGTTATGTTTGCTTTTTTGCCCCGGGGGTAGGGGGCTGTAACATGATTTTTGTCATTGAACTTTCCCCTGTACCCAGGGGCTTTGTTAATGTTTTGTTCCATCCTCTTAACAAAAGCCCCTGGGTGGTTCGGGGGTCGACCCCCGTGGAAGCCGATGATAAGTGCATTAGCCCCGGCGGGATTTTTGAAATTAAGGATTTGGAGGTTTTGCGATCACTGATAACTTGATAATAATATAAAACAAAACACTTCTATCTGCAACTTTTACAATCACTGATAACTTGATAATAATTTAAACCAGTCAAGTTGTAGTTTCAATATCTGAGAATAATACATGGGTGTGCGGAAATACCAGCTTTATTTCGAGTGTTGAACATGATATCTCACAAGTGAGCGCAGCGAACGAGTGAGATGTCATGTTCAACACGAAAAATAAATCTGGTATTTCCAACCACTCATGTATTTTTCTGTTTATTATATAAAGGACAGTCTTTGAAAAGCGATAATTTTTACAGAAAAGCGATAATTGAAAAGCGATAATTTTCACATGTGAGATTATCATGAATAATTTCACATGTGACTGTGAGATTATCATTTTTATCAGTGCTCGAAATCTCTATAAAACACTATACATTATAATAAAAATTCATAAATTTGAACCACGCTAGAGCATGACAACAGCAAAATGCTTTAGAGTATGATGCACAATATTTTGGGAGGTGAAGTACATGAACACTAAATCAGAGAGTGTTGACTTGAAACTCACTGGGGGGGGGGCAACACCCCTGATAATTGTTCATGAGGAATTTCAGGTAGATTTCCAGACTGCACTTTTAGGTAAATTTAAGTAGATTTGCAGAAGATTTTCCGGGAAATTCAGGTAATTCTCAGGACATGAGAAAGTGAATTTGCAAAATAACTGTATTTTCGGAAAAATTATTATATGCCCTGAAAAATTTTTGTGCATCTGGAAAGATTTCGGTAACCCCCTCCCCCTCTTCTATCTAACCTCACACACACCCTGAGACGAAGTGCTCGCAACGGCAGTGAGTATACATCTTTTGAAAACAGGCGAGGGGTTATTGCATGCATGTATTTCTAGTCTGTATGGTATGATATCCTGATGACGCTATGGGTGGATCAGATGATCTACCCAATCCATCCGTCCCAGAACCCGCCTTTTCTATACTACACTCCTTCTTCCCCCGTTCAATGTTGTAAACAACGCCGAAACAACTTTTGGTAATATACCATGACATAAGCTCAACATTGGGTTGGGGGACCGGGGGCTTAAGAAGGGCAACATGATTCAACGTGGAGTTTATCATACACAAAATACAGTAATAGACACTCCGAAAATTGTAAACTTTTTAATTTTTTTATTTATGTTTAGAATTTTCGGAGTGTCTGTTGTTTTCAGTTTTATCAAAGTATCAACAAGTTATGTACAAGATTGTAGGTGGATATCCGTCAAATGGCATAAAATGTTCCATGTGAAGGCTAATATCCCACCAAAGCAGGACGGACATATTTTGCATATTCTTCCTTTTAAATAACTCGCCCAAAAATAATTACTAACATTTAACGAATATATATATATATATATATATATATATATATATATATATATATATATATATATATATATATATATA